TATCTTAGCGGTAACAAACCGACGTAATAGATCACTCTTATCGGTTGAAGATAACGTTCAATCTTCAAGTAGGTCGTTGAATTGATTTTTTTTTTTTAGACGCGTCCACTTAAGCTTTTTGATATGTCGTGAATCTCTTTTGTTTGACGGCTCCATTCAGTCCACCAACCCTCTGGCACAAATTTCCGTTTCTCTTTGAAATAATTTAAGCTTTCTGAAAGAAAAAAAAAAAAACACTGAAGAGATACAATCACGCTATGTGGCAGCTCTCATAAGTAAAATGTCGACTTAAAACAAAAGTCTTAGCCTCTTAAATCATGTCTCTTTTTGTCCGCTTTAGTGGATACCTGTACCGTGACGGTACAATATTCTACTGTCTCTGTACTCGGTTGCACAGTGAAGCTTTCCTATGAACATAGCAGATGTGTCTCTTAAATTATTTCGTGTTATTTACTGATTCTAGTGATATTCCGATTTAGCTCAGATCTGATGAAACGGACGACGTATTGCTAGCGCGCGTCAAAACAACATTACAGCTTATTAGCACCTTTTGAATAAAAACTGTGTCTATAAGCGTGTTTTTAAAGTATTAACATTCCTGCGGATTTGCAGCCACCTGCGACTGGAGTGAATGAAAACACCAGTAACTTGTGAAGTTGGAATTCATGAGTCATACCGACAAACTCAGTTGTATGCATCTATCAATATCAACCTTATTGTATCCCCTGAGTCACAGAAGGAATGTCAGTAAATATCGAACAAACGGCTCCACTTTACAATGAAGATACGTGTCGATGGTGTTAATTGAGTTTGTGGCCTTACTTCTTAGTTTTACGCTTGTTTTCGACGTTTCACACGTTACCTGTAAAGAACATAGCTTTTTCATTGTGTTTTGCCTTGAGGTTTGAATATTTAATGAAATTTCACAAAACCTTTGTCCTTTAGAAATGTTTTCGTTGCGGCAAAGCAGATATCACGAGTAAGTGAGGATCCATTCTTTAACCCATGGAGTGTTGACAATGATGAAAGTTGTTTCTTTGAAGTTCGATCAAATTGTTTGCTAAACACTTTCAGAAAGAACGAGTCAATAAATAAAGATATTACACAACGAATGGTTTATATATTCAATTTATGCATGGCAAAGTATCCAATTTACTTAAAATACTCGTTGTTTATTTAGCGTGGAAAAAACTCGCTCCTTTCCCTTATCAAAAGAACAAAAAGAACTCGTCTTGCGCTATTAAGTATAATGATACCGAGCTAAAGACGACAGACAATTCAGAACTAAATTAGCGCAGCGAGAGATCCGAAGACTCGACAATTATCTCAATGGTTTTGTGGCGCAATACTATTACCCTGTAATTAGATTGAGTAGCACACACTTTTAAGAACGCTTTATAAACCAACAGATTAAATGTTTCTTGCGGAAATAGCTGCAATTAGAAATGATTTGGGATTAGGCAGCTTCTGTGAAGGATCTCTAGAAAGAACGAAGAGTGCGCCAAAAATGGCAGAAAACAAAAGTAAGCTAGTCAATCTGATATATCATTACGTCAGAGCAACTGAACACGTTTTTTCTTATAACTTAACGTCATTAATGCTTTACTCTTTTGCATAAAAGTGCTATGTTTGGTGGTACAATGTACAATGGAGTGTTAAGAAAGAGATTTACTCAAAGGATTAGCGACGATACAATGAATCTTCCACAAAACAAACTTTTGAGTTTGTGCAAGCGACCTAACCGTCTTTGTTTTATAAACATACTCCGAAGCCATCCATTAAAGGCTATTGTCCGCCAGGCTAATTATCCATGACCCGTAACTCCTGTTAATATAGTCTATTAACGGAGCCACCATCAAAATGAACCAAGCTTGTGGTGTTTATGGAAAGGATCCTTTGTAAAGAAAAGATAGCCAATACTACGAATTTAACACGGGGAGGAAATTAATCAAATGTTGACAAGGTGATTTGGCGAACACCCAAATTTAAATTTCAAATGATGCTGCTGTATGGAAGTTTTGTCTTGTTCTTAATTAACTCCGTGTACGAGTTGAAAACAAAGATTCCTGTCTTCTAGGGCCATAACACGCAGCCGTTAACTCCACCCAGATATTAAGCAACATTTGTCCTGCGAAATTATCTTTAATTTCACCCTTACCCAATTGAAACTGTGACCACGAATTAGCCCCAAATTGCACTTTTGGCCAATAAAACACCAACTCAATCGTTTCTTGCCACTTTGGAGCCATTAAAGGATATTCCAAATTATCTTTCTATCTGTATTCATGGCTAATTATATGCGAAAATTGGGTCTTGAAGGCCATTTAGTAATTAGTCCATTAAGTCGAAAGCAGAACAAAAACAACATGCTAGCGAATTAGCATTTCTAAAGCACCTGACCGAAACGGGGAAAGCGCTGTATTTAGTCTGTTTTATAAGAAATTGGAGACCAAGATTTGCTTAAAATAGACCGGTACCATTGCTTATGCAACTAAAGCGCTATTTAGCCATATTGGATGACTTTTCTTTGAGTACGAATCAACAAATTCAGTTATGATGTAAGTGCGAGAGTGGTTGAATAACATTTTCAAGTGCTTGAGTACTCTATAGAGTGAGATAACACCAACGATACGATGACAAAGCTAAGTATTATGAACTAGAAAAAATGACTTGCAGGTGTCGGCGGCATAGTTTTAAAACGCTGAGTGCTTCTAAGTTTTCGGCGGCAAAGCCGGCGAACTCTTTAGAACTGTGCCAATTTATAGACGAGAAAAATTGTCCTTTGTTACCTGCCAGAGAGCTGTTTCCAAGCACCAATTAACAGCGCTGTTTTATTCTCTTATAGTTTGAAACGCATAGCCCGCGTGAAAACAAGAAAGATATTTTCTTTTCAGTGGGACAAACATAAAACAACACCACCCGAAAGAGCTTTTCACACTATCCGCTGTTCATGTTAAATGCTACGCGTGCGAGAAGCGAAAGCCCCGGTAGTTGAACACAAAAAAACATCTCAGCGCGCGAAGAAAAAAAAAAAAGGGAAATCTGTGTATTGTTCGTATAGGTGCAGTTATCTCGATACGCCCGTGTTAATATTAACTATAATTTGCCTCAATTAAACCACTTCTCGCAAAACAAGTATTTGAAAGAACTGATCGTTGCATCGTCATCAGAATGTACGTGAAGTATGCTCGCTCGTTTAGTCATGGATAATCGAACTACCCGTCGAGTTCGAGTAAAATACCAGGGTCACAGTTTTATTCAAGCAAGGCGCAAGGAAACTAGTTTAATTTACCTATGATGGTAGCGTTGACTGCAATGTTTATCGAACATTTGCCGTTGAGCGAACGTAATGTTAAAAGCAAGTTTTATTTGTTAACTTTGATAAAGAAATTTTATCTATGCATCACATCCGCTGAAGACATTAGTTACTTCATTTCGGGATAACAACAGCTTAGGCCAGCTTGTTTGGACAGTTCTCTCCTCGCGTCGACTACATACAAAGTTTCTTAAAGCATAACATAACATGTTTACCTAGAAAACGATAAGTATTCATATATACAGGTAGTTTATCGTTAGGGTTCCAGAACTTGATGGGCATTTTTAATTTCCAATTGATTAAAACTGGGCAAATTCCAGTGATTAAAATAATATCAACACTGCAGGACTATATATTACGACTCTGACTGTCCGTCAAGCTTTGAATAAAGAAATATTTCGACGCCGGTACTTAATTGATTCGGCTGAATCGTGCTTGTGAACTTTGTCCTGTTTTAATTTTACAGTTTTGAAGAAAATTCCAGATAAAACGCCATCTCTCAAGTTTAACGTTTCGTGTTTAAGCCTGGGGACCGTTAGGTATTCTCCGTTTTTATTTCTCTTAAAGACCTCCTGTGGTTTGCTACCTGTTAAGAAACATCCTCAATACCTTTAACTGTCTCTATCACCTGCTTTAACATGTCAGTCTTTGGAAAACTTTTATTGTTTTTAAACGTATGTGTTTCCCGGCCTTGGACGGTTTTTATATGCAACTTAAGCTGCAATCTCGAGGCCGTTTAACCTATAAAATTTTAATGAAAATATCTTCCTCGTTAAGTGAAAAGAAAAATGTTCTGTTTTAGTTGATTTTGACTCACATAAAACTATACATTTTTTTTTTAATTTTCACGAGCTAGACAAGCATGTTATAAAGTCACTTAGGCTCGTCTGACAACCTACGGATAACAGCTTCCCTGGGCGAGCCATCGAGGGAATGTTTCTGGGCTTTTTCCATAAAAGTTCCGCCGAATCATCAAATATTCATCATACCATTCGGATGGGTTCTGAGGATGCCGGTAGACCTCTTAATTCGGCAATCAAGACTGTAAGCCATGAGCAGTTGGACGATAAAAACGCCGGGGTTACGCCCGAGTGATAACACTCGTCGAATTAAACATAATGGGCTGGTTTTTTTGTCCGGAATCATTCACATGCATACACAAGACACATATCTAACACAACAAACAATGACCCGACACAATGGGCGTCCAGTAGGCATTATGAGTATGTTGGTTTTGATAATGGACTTTCAAGCACGCAGCCATACCGAAATGCTTTGACTCTCCCAGTTTAAGACAATTTGTGGGTTTTTCATCCTCCGATTCTTGCGGTTAGCCATAAAAGAGGGCGATGCTGAGACTTCATAATGGTAGAGCCTTTCTTATATGTCTCGCCCCTAGGCGAGGGTTTTATGTATTTCTACCGTAAATCATTGAGGTCCGGCCCAAGAAGTGAAACAATGCAAAATATCATTGTGATGACGAAGTGTTTGTTTAACTCTCGAGGAAAGAACAATGAAAATATCTCTTTCAAACCACTGGCAGAAACAAGAAAAGTCAACACAAGGGGTACTTTACATCAGTCTCTCTTACACATGCCGGTTATTGAGAAAACATCATGGTAATCTACGCGAGCCAATCTCTTAATCAAAGCCGAAGAAAAGACAACATTAAGCACAAAACCTCTTATAACTGATAAGAGTCCTTTATTCACTTAACAGATGCTGTGTCATTGCTAAAATGTTATTGATACTCTCTTAAATAATAGATATAAGGAAATCTAAACTATTACTCCTTTTGAGGTATACTTACAAACGGCGCGTATATTGGGTGCTTATTGCAATCAGCCTGGTCACATCGACGAAATTTTAGGAACATTTAACACAGAATTAAACTGTGATCGAGGAAGAAATTTAGTTGTTCGGTGAAGAGACTACATTATACCAATATCTCTGCGATATAAGCTAATACGTGTATGTATTGAATTTTAAGGACGGTTTACACATCTTAGCTATGTGAAGGTGACATCAACTGTCACCAGTGTGACCAATTACCAATTGATGCTCCAATCTGTTCTCTCTTGAGTAGCATATGCTATATGAATAGACTCAAAGCTACATTTAAAACTCTTGTACTAAAAGATTTCTACTCTGAGTTAAATTATACATGCTAGCCGGGTTATGACACAAATAAATTATATTTACAAAATTAAAAACTTAACAGCTTTAACAAGATTTTCTGGGGAATCATAACTAGTGTTCTATTCTGATAACCTTCCCACTAGTTGCATAAACGTTTTTTAACTAGCCTAAACCAACTCGTCGCTCTGTACACTTAACTTTATACAACTGAGTATTTTTCATGAAAGTCATTCTTGAAATTGATAGTGATCACATTCTTTGGCATCGCTCTGTGAGGAAAGGAGTCTTAAGACACCACTGGCCCAAAGTTGGCGTTGGAATAGCTTGTTTAGACTGACTCGCCAAAACCGCCAGGCTAGCTGGAGTGTCCGCGTCATGACTTCCCGTGCCGGTAGTCTCTGAATTTGACCAAGCGTCTGTGTTAGAGCCGTTTGATGATCCTGGTCTGCTTTCCGGTTTGTTTGGTCCATCAACCGAGTTGTCTTCGTTTGCTTTGACATTCTTTTTACACTTAGATCGTCTGTTCTGGAACCAGATTTTCACTTGGGTCTGCGTCAGGCCGAGATATGCGGCTAGTTCAGCGCGTTCGGGTAAAGCGAGGTATTGTGTCTTCTGGAAACGTTTATTCAGTTCTCGGAGTTGAAAACTTGAGTAGATTGTTCGTGGTTTCCGAATCTTTTTCCCCTTTCCGTTTAGCCTCGGCTCGTCACATGGTCCTTTCAAATCTGCAGTGATAATGTATATAACTATGTTAAAATTTCCACAGAATCTCTAGAAAGTGGCCCAAAGTGATCCTAAATTGTATCATTTCGCCGTTCAACTTATCAAGCGAAGAGCAACAGAGTACTTTAACCGTTCATTTTAGGCTAATTTTGTTGCCATTTGACAATGCAGTTTAACACTTCGAAGGTAGTTTGACAGAGTTTTCGAGTTCACTAACTTCCCTAATTTCCGACAACTTAGGCGACCACAAGAGGATTAAACGCGGTAAATAACTTCCGAATCTACCCTAGGCGAGGAAGTTCAAAATTGCTACTTGAAATGACACAGAATGAGACTGACTCATACAGATTTGAAAGCTGACTCACCGTCGTGAGGAGAGTCGTGCGGCGCACCAAAACCCTGTATGGAAGGCGACAAGTACGGATGATGCGAGAGTGGGTGATGGTTGAGCACGGGCGGCATCGGAAAGGAATTTCTGGCGTTGCAGGCGAGCGGGTAATCTTGGCTAGGTGGAGGGTGATGATAATAACGCATCGCCGTGTACGGGTTGTAATTCGGAGGAACAGGATTGTAGCTGGAGTAACTGTGCGGACCTGGTGTCGAAGGCAACTCCATGAAGGCGGACTTGCAAGGCGCGGGAGGCTCAAAGTACTCGGCTTGGAAGTTGAGGTTCATGTGGCAGCGCTAACCGAAGAACGGCTCAATTATAACAAGTCCGCACTCGCAGATGTGACAAATTGACAACTCGCTGTTCACAACCTCGATATGAGACCCGAGTAACCACCTGACTGGTTGTTAAACAACAAACCTTGAGGCCACGCGTGCATGTCTGGTTAATATGTATGTTTGCGAAGCGGAGTCGCGCAAGAATGGCTTATGCAAATCTAATTGGCTGTTATGATAATATGGCTCTAATTACATTGTATTTTATCTTCTAATAGCTTTCGCGCACAACAAAAGCAGCTGCTGTTGTCAGTGAGTCTTTATCATGACTGTATAATTTGCCATTGTTGATAAGGCTCAGTAACCAGAGTGTACACACCAAAATAGTCCTACGTGCTTTGCACCGTTCAGCGATATCCGACATGCGTGGTCAAAACTAGCGGACAATTAATAGGGTTTTTTTTTTGAGGAAATCGTAATCTAAATTCATCGCTTTTATGACGTTCCCTGAAAGATCCAACCCTTTTCAGGTCGAAGGATCATTAGCACATGTTGTTTAATTGAAGCTAAATGTTTTTTTCAATAAACGTCTATAGAAATGTTCGTTTGTGAACACTGTGCGGGGAAGATAGTGACCTTCCCTTGCGAAACTAAGCGGAAGACACAATGACTTGCTACAAATACTTTTTTGCTAATGATGGGTGCAATTTCAAATCGCTGACGCCAGAACGCTATCGATTTACAACAATTTGCTTGGTAAAGAGGCTCAAAACAGCCAAATTGCTCCTTATTCAAAAGGTCCAAACAATGCGATCTACAACCCGTTGTCCTCCGCGGAGTAATTGCTTTAAATCTTGATAGGAAAGAAGTGTGGAAAACAACGCCAAGCAATTTAGCGGTACCCTTTAACTCGAGACACAATGTATCATTAAGGAGAAAATGTGTTGCTCTTCAAGTGCTTGAACATTAAAACCGCGTTAAAATTTTTCACGCGAGTTTCAAGGTAGTTTTCGTGAAAAATTGGCCCTCGCGCAGTAGCACTTTCTGTCGTGCGCATAGCCTAGCAAACCCGGTGGCCTATGACCTAACACAATGGACTAAGTCCTATAGCTCTTAACAGATCGGATTAAGCTCCTGTTTTCCCTACTGGGCTTTGAAGTTAACGGCGTTTTAATTCAATCTTGCGGCGAAATAATTACAACAAGGGTTATGATTTCCCTTGCAAAAGAATAGGACAAGGGAAAAAAAAAGAAGGATTCAAAAACGGTAATCAATACCAAACCATCTTGAATAAAAACCTTACGCTTAAAACCACGAAACTTTCCAGACTAAACCAATTTTTTTCGCAACGGATGGCAATTCACAATGACTATTTTATTTTCTATGTTTTAAACAGAAACTCTTTTTGGCGAAACGCTTTTCGGTGCGATGATTTCGAACATGTGTAGACCCACTGGAAAAAAAAAAAAAAAAAAAAAAAAAATCCGCAATTTGCAATGCTGCAGAATTGTTCTTTGCCAATATTAAAAGTCATTAATCATTTTTGTTTTGAAACCGGTGGGTTCGAAATTGTCCACGATTTGTATGTAAACGATGCAATGGCACTTACTAATTTTTCTGCCATATGGATTGTTTCTCCGGCCAGCCTCTTTTCATTGAGGATTCTAATAACTTAGGTCAAGGCTGTGAGAAACTTAAAAAATGGCGAGCAAGTGATTTTAACACCTTTCCAAAGTTAGCTCCCTTTTTGCAGTTTTCGTTATTAAGGCCGGCTGCCGTAGAAAGTATTGTAATTACATAGCAACAATACATGACTCGTCAGGCGTCTCAACATAACCGTCAAATAAAACCATAATATTTACCAAAACTTTACGTAATGATTGAAAAGCTTGAGGTTAACCAAGCCATAGTAAACCATCTGTTGAAATCAGAAACTATATTTTTGTCTATCATTTCGTTTCTGAAAATCGCACTATCCACAGGACGCGACACTTTGCTCAAGAAGAATAAAAGGACGAATTAAAGGAGTGTGTGTTTAAAGAATATGTCAACTTATGTTGGTTTCAAAGCCGGAGCAACTTGAACCACACAAAAAAAGCGCAATCTTGTTGAAACCTTTCTACAACTAATACAAAAATAATCGCTTTTTAATTGTCAGTCTTTTGTGCTTAAGATTTTTGAGCAAGAAATACATGACGTTAATAGTTTCTATTTTCTTTCTTTCTCATGGTAATCATTTGGAAACTCAATATTTGCGGCAGTGGGTGTACATGTAAAAAAAAATGAAGAAATGAAAAACCAACCGCGGCGCGGTTCAATTCAACAATGTCAGATTAAACCAAACAACGACAAGACAACACGGCAAACAAACCGTCTTCATAAAATGGAGACCGAAATCAAAAATATAATTAGAAGCAGCTTTGCACTTGTAGAAACATTTAATAAAATCAATGCTCTCAAGCAAACGCGCAATGTTCGGTTCAGGCAGCCGGCAATTTAACTAATGTTTAATTCTTCTAAACATGACATTTGGGTACGTCAGTTCACAGAAACGGGCAGTTATATTAAAGTTTTCCAAGTTAAGCTGATAACACAACAACAAAGCTCACAAAGATTAGCTGTACAAAAGCAGAGACAAAAGGAGTACGCGAAGGCAGCAAAGATTTTAATCATATTCCACCTACTCACAAGAGTGGAGAATTTTTCGTGAAAAATCGACTATCAGTTAAGTTAGTATGCACTTTAAAGCTGACGGTAGTTTCTGAGCAATCAAGATAAGCGAAATAGACCTTCGCAGTAAGAGCTCCAAAAGAGTTACTGTTTTTGAAGTAAAACATTTTTTGAATGCTGTACTTTAAACTAAACCGAAGATTTATTTTTTACAAGGCTACGCACAACAACGTCCGAGTCGAAATTGACGCAGTCCGGGATTTTCTAGAGCGTTGGTTGTAAGATTGGTCTTTCTTTTACGTAAATGTACAAGCGGCTCGTACTAATCCAAGACTTTGGCTGCTGAATATCAAGTGACATGACTAAATTGTAATTTTACAAACCTTTTCATCAACGATGTGCATCTTCATAGTAATAGATAGGTACCCACGTTGAAAGAAGACTGAGCTGGGTTGTACCTACCAGTTCAATAATGTGCCTGTGCTAGTTTTTGTTGATGTGAAAAAGGTAGTACTAAGCTTCCTCCCTGTTTTTACACAATTTTCTTCGCCAGCTGGTTTCAAGAATTATCTTGAAACTACGTGTCGCTTCCCTATCGTGGGAAATTTCAAACACGACTTGAAATAACTAAGAAGACTGTACGATATACAACCCTTAGTTAACTCGCAGAGCTCTAAACTATACAGATTCAACCGTTAGCGGTTTGAATTAACAGTTATAAATACTGAAGCTTGGAAGGTAATTTTCAGGTTGAAAAACGGTTCTCTTTATGTTTTGAAGGCGAAAATTTGAAGCGTTTTTAGCTCTAAAAGGCTGCCTAAAATTGCCTTAAACCCAGCCATTTAGAGACATAGAGAAAGCTGGCGGTAGTATTACCGGAATTATCCCATAGTTCACGCTTTGTAAAATGTTCAACTACTTTCAGATGGTGTTTTACCCAGGAAAGATGGATTATTCTTTTTGTTTTCACAAAACCAAGTATTCGCAAGCTGGCCGCTGCCTTATGCAATTAAGTCACTGGCTTTCCTGGGATTCGCTGACCCAGAAAGTTAATTAAAATTGCACTTGAATGGAAGTTTTAAACTTGCTAGCAGATTCTGTATTCGGGGTGTAATCAGATAAATAATTGCACGTCTCATTTTAGGTGATAAGTAATTTTCAACTCTTTCGAATGCAAAAAGCTTGCCAACAGATGGCTTGGTGTTAGAACTACATTATTCAAAGACAATTTTAGGACATGCATTTATCCATTCGGTCAAATGATTCCTCTTTGGAGGGCAAAAATTCTAATATTTCATCAGGTTTCTTCGAACAATTTACAAGATGCTCTTCTATGTTATACCTTGAGGATTTTGAACAGTTTAAATTGCGCCAAGATAGTCTACCTGCTAGGCTAAGTTGAAGGTTCTACTGATTTGTTTTTAAACAAGACCAAGACACAACTCTACTCTAGAAATTGTTAACGCAACTTAGTTCTTCGGACAGATGCTACAAACAATGAATGCACTCAGTTTATCTTCCTCATCTTAAGAATTTAGAATCGGCCAAAACTGTAAAAAAAAAGAAACGTATTTTTCGATAAATCCGGATTAAGGGATTACATGGCAGTGGAAGTAATCTTCGCATTTCACCGTCCACAAATCCTCAAATTCTATGAATATATATAATAATTAAAACAAATGTCAGAATCCTGGTTGGTAAACTGAATTAAAATGACAAATCTCGATTACAGAAATCCACTCTAAATAAAAATTAAGAGGCTTAGCTCAGATTTACAATTTTCGCCTAAAACCTTACGGTTCCCCGAAATGGCTCCATCGAAGTTTCGCAACTTCAGGATTTTTGATGTAATGGAAAGGAGACCAGATAATTCCTCTTTATTGTAGAACAGTAAAAGGTTTATCGGTTAAACTGTTTGTGGCTTTACGGGTATGCATGCACTTGTAATTTTCATTTTTGGAAAGGGTCCCTTTTTTAAAATTCTATTTATTTAATTTTTTCATGCAGATCGTGCTCAGCGCCATTTTTACCCACATCCAAACATTCAACTCAGTAATTGTTTTGTTTAGTAAAATTATCTCAAAGTTGAGTTGTCTTTCTGAATCACACACACGATGTCGTATTTGAAATCCGCCGAAAAAAAAACATCCTGAGTAGTCATAACCGAACCCCTGTGAACCAATTCTAGATTAAGGTTTTCCCTGTCGTCCAAAAGAGGAATGTTCGGCGATCCAACACGATCGAATATTGCTTTGTGACCAAACATTTTCCCGCTTTGACACCATGTTTGATCCTGCAGTGGATCGTATTTGATAAAATTTGAACGACGTCAAAAATTTGGTCAAAAATTGTAGAACGTTCTGTTCGCTCAGACATGTTGGATATCGTTTGACGGTACAACATCAACATGTAAGTTCAGTGGCTTGGTAAGAATAATGTTGTAGTGGTATTTGTGTGTGGCGACATCCTATCAGAAATATAACAAACACTGCCGATGAAAGTGTGCATGTAAAAAGCCATGTTCTGTTGAATTCAAGAGAATATCACTAAAGCAGCTTTCAAAGTCTATACAGGTTTTGCACGGCAGCCATGTTGCATGGCAGGAACAATCATATTCTTTTTCATATAGGAAAAAATGTTCTTTCTAATGCAAAACATTTTCATTTTTCCTGCCATGTAACATAGCTGCCATGAAAAACCTCTCTGTCTTTCTTGTCTTTTTTATACTACAAGATGA